ATAATGGTGTTGGAGCTACAGGCACTGATAGTCTTCATCATTGGACTTTGATACATTTTGAAATAGCACTGCAGGCTGATATGAAGTACAAAAATCCATGGACAACCCATGAAATCAGCTACTTCTTGAGGGCAAAAAAAAAAGAATTTTAATACCTTGAGGTCTAAAAAATATCAAATGTATGATTCGTCTATTAAAGTTTCATAAAAGAGGATTCTGTTTTAAGTTTTTATTTCATGGTTCATGTGACTCTGCTCTTACATGTACCAAACATGTCATAGATATTTCATAGATTTCATAAATATTTTATTGTCATATAATGTACAAAAGTAACTTGGACCTTTATTTGTGTACTGATTGAAATATTTATTAAACTTCATACAGTGYTATGTTGTTAGTTTGTAGTTGCTGTTTTGATTGAGTTTGTATGTATTAATTGACAATGAAACATGAAGCCTTGTTAAACAACTTCATAATCATAGTTATAACCGAGTTTTGTATGGTTCACACGGTGTCATAAGGCATCATAATCATAGTTATAGTCATAAGAAAATGATTTAAAGGCTTTTATTTCTTATGATGTGCTTACGATTATGACTGATTATGATGCCGTGTGAACCAGGCTTAACTTTACAATAAATAATGCAATTTTTGACATATTATTAAAAAAATGTATCTGTAATATGTTCCCTTACAGATTTTCCATTCTCTTCTCCAGTGTATCTTTGCTGCATGTCATATTCTCTGACAGGTCTGTTACTATTAAACTCTTCTGGAGGATCTGGCTCTTTCAATGTGATGGCAATGTTGTGCAGCACTGTGCATGCAACGATTATTGTGCACACTCTTTCAGGGGTCATTCTTATTTCAGAGTGTAAGACGTGAAACCTTCTTTTTAAAACTCCAAAGGTCCTTTCTACCAAACAACGGGTAACCTTGAATATAATTTACATTACATTTTAGTCATTTTAGTACTTGCATATGATGTGGTGGTAATAATCATATCAATTGTTAGTACTGTATCAATCATAACTAATTGATTTATGTTTCAAGCTCATGGTATAATTTGTACAATAGTACTGAATTCACTGATGTCAATCTTAAATTACTGGACTGCTGCATGATGATTTGATCAGAGCTACTATTAGTACTACTAAAAAATTAATTATGTTTCATGTGTTTTTTAGTCATATTGAAGAGAAACATGAATTCTTAAATACTGTTTTTAGTGATTTTCATCAAACTGTGAGTCAATTGATAGCCAGTGTTTCATAGTTTCTAATAATCATATCCTCAGCCCCCCTCCCCCACCAAAAACATTGTAAGGTCTACAAGTGTCTATTACCTTTATAA